GAGGAGGAGGAGGAGCAGGAGCAGGAGGAGGAGATGGAGGAGGAGGAGGAGGAGGAAAAGGAAAAGGAAGAGGAGGAGGACGAGGACGAGGACGAGGAGGAGGAGGAGAAGGAGGAGAAGTCGGACGGCATCAACGGCCTCGACGATCATCCTCAGGACGTTTGTTGACCCAGTGTGTGTATGTGTGTTTGTGGACCCTCGCACATCTATCCGGCTCGATGCTGCAAATTTTGCTGCAACGTCGGATCTCAGGGTAGGGGGAGGGGGGTGGGCTTCTGAAAGGGAGGCTGCTGCTCAGAAGACGCCGGCCTTGCGTCTCTAGGCAGGGTCCCTTCCTTCTGAGAAGCAGGGGTGCTTCTAAGAGGCTTCCCCCCTTCCCCCCTAACCCCCCTCTGCGCGTGGCCGAGCTGCGACCCTGGGCAAGAGTGACCTTTGGTGCGCGGTTCTAGGGGTGGGAGGGCAAAACCAAGCGCGCAGGCCGCTGCTATCGCATCTTGTTCAGCGATCGGGGGGCCCCCGTGGGCCGTGGGCCCGCACCAACGGTCACCCCGACGAAAGGTCACTCTTACGTGTGGTCGATGGGATCCGCTCGTGGCGATTTTTTCACGAAGGGCGCTTTCGCCCGGTTTCTCGGGCCCAAGGGCCCCCAGAGGTCGATGCGGCTCGAGAGATGGGGCAGGAAGATGGGATCTGGGGCTGCGGTGGTGATTTGCTGCGATGTCGCAGCTTTTCTGCAACGTCAGATCTGAAGGAGGCAGGACAGCCGCAAACTCCAGGGGGCCCCACGCCGGGCCAAGGGACCGTCACACAACGACGCGGGATGAGAAACAGGGCCCGGGGGAATGGGTCGAGACCTCCGGGGGGCCGGGGGCCGACGTTATGAGGGGGGGGCAGGTGGACGAGCCCAGGCTCGAGACAAAAAACTGCGGCAACGGCGTGGCGGCGGAGGAGGAGATGGGAAGAGAAGCAGCAGGAGGAGGAGGAGGTGGAGGTGGAGGAGGAGGAGGAAGAGGAGGAGGAGTTGTTGAGAACCTCATGCTATGCCAAAAGGGCAGAACTGCACCCCAATACGAAACGCCAACCCGAGTAAGGACACCGAGGAGGAGGACTAGGGCCAGTGTAAACCTAAAACGTGTCGACGACGTTGCGATAAATTCTCCCCCGAGTTCTTTCTTCATAGGTTATACAAGGAATTATTTTCAGTGCGGAGAGTGCCCCCTTGGAATCAATCGTGCCTTAGCACCCACCGTTCATGGGATATCAACGCCGCAGAACAAAACGACGATTGGGTCCTGACCATCCGCGCCAGAACACAATTCCTCGGATTTCTTCAACAACGCGAATCAACTTGACGGCTGCGTCCTGACAGCCCTAAATCGTGCCAGCACACAAATCCTGCTGTGACTTCGACCATACGAATCCTTACAACTGCTGCGTTCAAAATTACGAATGTGCTCATGTGCTCAGAGCTAAGGCTCAAGCCACATGTTAAAAAGGAACCACCCTGCATCCCCTTAACTGCTGCAAACGTTGAAAAGGAATGCGCGCGGCGCAAAGCGAGAGCCACAATTCGAAACCGACCCAGGCCTCCATCCATGAAACGGTTGCAACATGTTGAACCGAATGTGCACGGCACTAAGGCGAGAGCCACATTTAAAAAACGGCCCGCCCTCCATCAGCAAACCTGATGCAAACATTAAAGAACAATACGCACGGCACCAAGGCGATGGCCACATTTTGAAAACGACCCGCCCTCCATCCGTGGCACTGCTGGCTACCCTCTAAACGAATGCGGACGGCGCTATGGCGACAGCCATACTTTAAAAACGACCCGCCCTTCATCGGTGAAACTGCTGCAACCTTTCAAAACGAATGTGCACGGCGCTATGGCGATAACCACATTTTGAAAACAGCCCGCCCTCCAACCGTGAAATTGTTGCAGACTTTGTATGTTGCAGACGAACGTGCGCAACGCTATTACGATAGCCACACTTTGAAAACGACCCGCCCTCCAGCCGTGAAAACAGCGCAAAGTTTAATCGTGTGGATCCTAACTGGCGAGGGGGTCTCAGGCGAAACGCCCAGCCCGCCCTGCGGATACGTCTGGGGTGTGCGACTAGAAGGACTTACTGGCGCGTGCGATCTCAATAACCAATACAGCGATGACAAGAGAACCGACCAGGATGTCCGCCACACATACATATATATATACATATACATAGACACCCTCCAATGGATTGTTCCTGGGCCTTAGGGAAAGGTGGCGGTGTATAGATCACCACTGGGAGCCAGCGACTTTATACACCGCCGCCCTCCCTGAAGGTACGTGCACAGTTCGTCGGAAGGCGCCTGTGGATATACTCTCGTGGCGTACTAAGGACGGCGCGCTCTGAGCAGCCAGCACCACCCGGACCGGCGCAGCAGGGGAAGGCGGGGAGGGGCGGAGGCGGGCCGGCGAAGCGGCGCGGCGCCGCCGCCCTCCGCGCCAGTGTGCAGCCGAGCCCCGTCGGCGCTGTCCAGATTCTGGGGCGCTCCCCGACTGTGGGTTGCTTCGGGTGCGTCGCATCGTCATCACTGATCCTCGCTCCTACCCGCTGCTTCCTCCTCCTCCTCCTGGACCTCCTCCCTGTTCCTCATCCTGCTCCTCCTTCGCCTGCTTTTCCCCGTCCTCAGCGGCACGAGCCAGGCCAGAGGCCCCTGGACGTGGGAGACAGAGCCTGGGCTCCCGCCTTCTCTGGGCGCCGGGAGCACACCCGAGCGAGGCATCTCGAGTGCTGGGTACTACGGCAGCCCCGCACGTCAGACACCATAGCAGACTCCGCTCCGGCCAGAAGATCACATCGTGCGACTCGTGCACTGCTCTGCTGCGCGCGCGCGGCCCCCGAAGGCCGACAAACCGCATCACTCCAGGGCACAGGCGTGCACGGAGTCTGGATGGGACAGATCTCTGTCGTGACAGTGTACCAAAGACAGCCCTGTCCCATCGACGCACTGAAGCGCAAAGCACGCTGAACACTGCACAGCACGCTGATGTCGTCGTCCAGATTGCATCGCCAACTGTACGTCGCCCAGACGTTCCCGAGGGCTGGCGGAGCGTGGCGCAGGGCCAACGGCCAGCGGTGCGCGCTGCTGCCAGGAGCCCACCAGCCACGGAGAACGGCCGCTCACACGACGAAATTGTGCGCGCTGCCGCCGCGGCGGCCGCTGTCGGCGCCGCGGGCGCCGGGCCCGTGGTGCGTGCTGCTGCCAGAGCCCATCAGCCGCAGCATCTCGTCGTACCAGTCGGACCGAAGCCGCGGGTCCATGGCGCCCGGCCGACGCGGCATGCAGGTGGGGTCCGACTGCGTCCAGGGGCCGTACACGTTGGGAGCGCCATCTGGGAGCTGCTTCGTCTCAAAGTCCAGGTACACGCCGGAGTGCGACTCGACCTCCGGCCACGCCGCCGCGGCGACGATGACCGCTGCACCCTGCTCCTGGGTCTCCGGGCAGCTGCGCAGCCTGGCCTCATTAGTGCTGCACACCTTGATAAATTTCTGCAGCTCCGCCGGGAACTGCTGAAGGACCCAATCGGGGTACGGGAAGTGCATGACCGCGTATTTTGCCCAGTTGGGGACGTCCGGCAGCCTGAAGGCCACGCCGGGCGCCAGCGCGACCGCCGCGACAGTGGGCTCGCGCCTCGCCAGCTCGACGGCGTGGTGCACCATCAGGAACTTCGACAAAGCGAAGTACCCCCCCGTGCGGTTCAGCCGCGGATCCACGGACGTGCAGAGGGCGGCCAAATCGGCCGCGGTCGTGTTGGCTGCAAGCCTGGTGCCGTACGCAGCGGCGGCCACGTTCACAACGCGCCCGTGCCCGCGGAGCGCGGGAAGGAGCAGCTCCGTGAGCAGCGCGGGGCCCAGCAGATTCACCTGCATGGCGCCGACGAGCCCGTCCTCCGTCGGGGAGGTGTCGTAGCTCCCTGCGGAGTTCACGAGGACGTCGATCCTCTTGTGCCTCGTGGTGACGCGGCTCGCGAACGCACGTATACTGGCCGCGGACGACAGGTCGAGCGCCTCTGCCTCGAGCGCCGCCGAGGTGCCGCTCCGGCTGGCGAGGCTCTGCAGGACCGCCGCGCACTTCGAAGCCCTGCGGCAGGCGAGGATCAGCGAGGCGTTCGCCCTCGCGAGCTCCAGGGTGCTGGCGCTCGCCAGGCTGCCGTCGGCCCCGGTGTAGACCAGCACCCTCCCTGCGAGGTCGATGCCCGCCAGGGCGTCCCCGGCAGTGTCGACGGAGCTGCAGGACCTGGCCCACGGGGCGGCCACCGCCGCGGGCTGCGCCGCCGGGGCCCCCACCGCCGCGGCGAGCAGCGCGCAAGCCAGCACGCGCGCGCGCGCCGCGGCCATGGCCGAAGCCGACCCGGGGCGCCGGCTCCCACGTGGGTCACCGCTGGAGGCCGCCTGAGCCGGAATGGCCACGGTGCCATCGCGGGCAGCGGCGCCAAAGCCGCACCTGCGTGAGGGGCAGCGATAGGGGGGGGGGGGGGGACTGGCACCGGGGGGGACGCATCGACCCGGAATCGGCGATGCATCGCCGACGGATCGGCGATAGGCTCCTGATAGCGCATCCGACCCTTCCTGGGCAGATTGGGGCTATCGGGCCCCTATCGGCGATCCATGGGCATTTGGGCGGGATCGATGCGCCCCCCCATGCCTACCCCCCCCTGTCGTTGCCCCTGATTGCGGCACTGAGCGAAATCACCAGGCAGGACCGGTCATGCGTGCTCTGTGGTCTCAGCGAGTCGGGAGAGCAGAACAGAGCCTTTGGGGGTCGAGGGGAACGAGCCCCCTCCTTCTCGAGGACGTCCCCCGTGACTAGAAGCAGACAGTTCTGGACATTACGCGGCAAGGCATCAGCAAACTGCACTGACGCCGAGATTGCAGTAGGAACTTTCACGTGCTCGCTAAAATGCCCTTCAAGATGGTCAGCGATAGCATTGGCGATGAGAAAACCTGGCTGCAAGC